CTCTGCCCGCAAAAGAAACATATCCCCCATTAAAAGTTTGAATGTCGTGCAATCGGAATATGTCTCCAGTCATGTGCCGGGAGCAGCTGCTGTCGACATACCAAGGTCTGGCGATATTCCTCCGCAACTGTCCCTGCACGATGAGTGGAATCATTTAGTTTTGGGAACCCAGGTCATCACAATCCTGGGTTGACTCTTTCTTTTTACTATGTTTTCATTTGATTCTTTCATTGCTTTTGAATTAGAAGGTAATGGAGATTGATCCGAAAAAGATTTTTGAATCCACTGACGGTTAGGTTTTGAAAATTTGTTTGTTTGCTTCGAACCGGTGGATTTTCTACTCGAAGAGTTAGAAAATCCTGTCCTGTTCTTTGAAAAATTCAACTTATGCTTAGCCTGTGTTGATTTTGGCAAACATCTGTTGTTTTTAAGAAAAACCAGTTTATTCTCTTGAAATTTTTTGTTTAATATTGTATTCAAGTCTCCATTTCTAGAATGAGTTCTGGGAATTTTTCTAGTTAAAGATCGTCCCCGACATTCATTCTGCCCTCTTTTTGTTGTATGAGATACAAACATTATGTTTGAATAATTTCTTGCAATGTGTCTAGCAGTGCCACAGTTAAAACATATTTGTTTGTTGTTAATAGCTTTGGCACTGTTGTTGTCAACTTTATTCTTTCCATTTTTAACAAATTTACATTGGCAAGATCCATCACATGATTTAGTAACAGTTGTGTTAGAAACAACATTATCAGACTGAAATAAAATACCACCCGACACAAAAACATTTTTGTTTGATTTTGACACAGATTCATTACTGAAATTAACATCAGACTCAATCACAACATTATTTGACTCAAAAGATTCAGCTACATGCTCCCCCTGAACTATGGATATATCTGCACTTGAGGTAGAAATGTTAGTATGCAAATTCTCATAATTTGACTTTATTTCCTGCTTAGAAGCTGACTTTCCGTACACCATGTAAGGTTCTCTGTCAATTTCTTCTTGAGACAGAGGAATAGTAGTGTAATTGTGATTGAAAAGAGGAGGGACACTCTCAAAACCTAATCCAACTTTTATTTGATTACCATGAGTGATATCTCTCCAGTGCGATTGATCTTCGATTAATTTTGCAATTTTTTCACTTGACACATCGAATTTTTTGAAATTAAATTCAGGCTTTTCAAAACAATTTCTCAATGTGTCAAGTTCCATGGTTACAACAACAAGTTTTCTTTTGAGATGATAATAGTTCTCGCATTTGTTGCTGTAATCCTGTTGCAATTTTTCAAAGTCTTTTGTTTTATTGTCTAATTGAGTTTTTAAGGGCTTTTGATTTTTTCTCAGAGTATATCCCTCATATTTCAAGTCCCCGTTCTCTCTTTTGATTATTTCAATTTGATCTCTCAAAAATTTAACAGTTATAATACAAGATTGAGAACATCCGAAATCACTAACCTCATATTTGACTGGTTCAGGAGTGGTCTGTACCGTGAATGCAAATTGCAAATTCATCATCTCCTCCTCTGGATCTGCTTCCATTTCTTCACTAGCATCCTTGACTTGAGCAAGATTTGCATTTTCAGGTCCCGAAATGTTTAGGGCCTTAACTTGATCTTTCCAGTTGAATGATTGAGCTACCATTGCCATGTTTACAGATTGATTGTTTGAAGGTGATACTCTGTTGTTGTTGTGAACGTAAGTTACTGGCACCATGGTTCTTTCAAAGTTTCCTTGCTGATCAGGTTTTGGACATTCCCTTGCAAAGTGTCCTAGTTCGTGACAATTATAACAGCGTAACTTTCCTTTGCTAAAACCCATCTTTTTATCTGAATTTACACCTCAGTTGTTCTTTCCAGTCCTTTCTGAGAATTGTTTTTCCCTGAATACTGCCATTGCCATTTGCCAAGTAATATCCATCTCTTCCACATCTTCAGGATGGATTTGATCAACATCAGTTAATGAGGGTTGTGGAGAGAGCTCTCGAGCAACAAAGGCATTATAGCAGTTCACCAATGCAATAGCTAGAGCCATATTTTCCTCCTTTTCCTTTGTAAACGAACTTTGGGAACCAATTCCATGAGATTCAACTGAAACACATGTGGAAGAACTAACACTAGAACCGACTTGAGATATGTTTTGAGGGATTTGAGTTTGTTGCATTTTAAGTATGTTGTATTTTGATGGGTTGTATAAGGTTGAACTTGGGGAACCTGGACTTGAGTATTCTGATGGGTGGTGAAGCTTGAGAAAGCGGTGTTGTTGTTTTGAATTCCAAGATTAGCTCTAGAGTACGAATTGACATGATTGATTTCTCTTTGTTTATCATCAAGTTCGCAAGCTTTGATGATAGCCATTGTTTCATACAAGCTTAAACGGTTCAAGTCTTTTGTCTTTTTGATCACCGAGACATTCATGTCCCATGATTTTGGAAGAGAATTTAGTAGCTTCTTGTTGATTTCAGACCTAGTAACCATCACATATGTGGAGCTCATTTCAGTGGTTAGTGTGATAAATCTTTGCAATTGATTTTCCAATGTTTCTCCCAATACATGATTGAACATGTTGAATTTCTGTCAGAGCATGTCTTGTCGGCTTTTCTTCATGTCTTCATTTCCTTCATAGACTTTTATGAGTGCTTCCCACATTGCTTTTGTTGATGTATATTCACGAAATCCTTGTGCAATCTTAGGAGACAATGCCATAGTAAGTGTGGCAAGTGCCTTTTCTTATTCTTCAACTCTTTCAATGTCATCAGTGCAATTTTCAATCTGTTTGTCAATTACCGTGCCATCTTCTAGAGTAGAGGTAATCCTAATTGGTCATCTTAAAATACTTCTCGAAATTTTGAAATCATCCATTTTGATGTACTTTTCAATTCGATATTTCCATTCAGGAAATCCTTCAGCTGATAACAATCCAAGAATACAAGTGGTGGTTCCTATAATTGCATCCAAATCTTGATGAGCAATCATGCTTTGAGATTCCATACTAGATTTCAACCGTACACCTAACCAGACAATAATATTAACAACAAATAGTTTCAGCCGCACACTCAGACAGCAAACAGGTTTCAACCGCACACTCGGACAACAAATAGGTTTCAACCGCACTCTCGGACAGTAAATAGGTTTCAACCGCACACTATGACAACAAAAAAATTTAACAGCATACACTTTCAACCGCACACGAGCATCAGCACACACCAACCACACATGCTTTTAACAGATACGCTCCATCGCACACACACTTTAGCAGCAAACCTTCAACAGTTCGAACAGCAGACCCAAAAATTTAATTTTCCTATGAAATTTGATTTCAGGCTTTTGCAAACCAATAACAAATCAACAATCAATCCTTTGAACAAAAAAACTTCAAATGATACCAAAACCGCTTTGATACCAATTGTAAGTCCCAAATCTAATGATCCAATTTAGTAATCAATGAAGTTGATTGCAATAAAGGAAAGATTTAGAAGAAGAAGAAATAAACACTACAAGAAAAAGACCCTTTTACGACGCGCAAATTACGACACTCAATGATTTATGTTACGCAAAAGAGAGTGATATTAAAAAAGTGTCATCTATTAAAAAAATTTAAGGATTTAGGTCACACATTATTGCGTGCCCTTAAATTAGTGTAAACAGAAAAAAAAATTAAAAACACGGAGGGCGCTGTATCTTAAATGTGTGCCCTCTATAAGTGTCGCTTTATATTTTTAATGAAAGGCGCGTTTAATAGATATGGGGGAAATGAAATCCCCAAAATTTTGAATACCCGCTTGAATTTCTCTCCATTTCTCTCTCACGATCATCTGCAACCCTAGCTATCTTAATTTCTCTCCATTTTTCTCTCACGATCGAAGGACAAAACAAGACACAAATTTCACTTGCAGAAGAGTTGGTGATTTCTCTCCATTTCTTTGCGAGTTAGGAACCAAGACACATAGAACGTAAAAGAGGAGGAAAAAGACACACATACACACACATTGTGTGTGAGGTGCGGCTGCCACAACTTTCACTTCCAGAAGAGTTGCTAAGAATTGGTGATTCCATCTAGGGTTCGACAAGATTAATCAATATCTCGACATCTTACCTCCTACATCGTATTTCTTCAACCATTCGTGACCATTCTAGAGCTTAACATTTTCTTTAGCATTCTAGGGTTCGATATCTGTTGAGATTCTTTAACATTGTTCACTAGCCTTCTAACCTTTCTCTGGATAGGTATCAACTCCAAGGTAAGAATAGATATGTTACATTACTTTATACAATCCTATCTTCGATTTTGGTTTAATTTCATTTTCCATGCTCTGATTCTCGTCTATTCATAAAGAAAATTTATGCATTCTAGCCATTCGACGAAATGCCTGACTTAAATTAAACAATTCTAGAATTAGAATAAGAATTGTTAATGTCTTTTAAATAGACGTATCAAAAGCATCTTCCTTCACGTTTATTCAAAAACGTATTTGAAGAAAAATTAAATAAACAAATATAAAAAACGTTTTTCCATATTTTGGTATATTATGCTAATTTTCCTTCGCTCCTTTTCGGGAACAGCTGGTGTATGTTTTGCTTATATACAAGTCTTGTCATTTTGACTTACTGATGACATACATGTTTGACTTTTAAATGACTTGAAGTATCAGGAATCCTTATCTTGTTATTTTCACTTACTGATCACATAAATGACTTGAAGCATCAGTAACTAAACTTCACTTGTATTCTGCATTTGATTGTTCATATTACACGTCTATACACTTTATAGCAATTATCTTGGGTTTCATTAAGTATAGTTTTAGTTGTTCCTGGTTTTTAAGTATAAGGAAGGGTAAAGGGTGTACCATGAAGCCTCTTATCTCTTTTTTCCACCAGGTATCTGATATTGGACACCTTGATCTCCAACTACATTGAAAAACCACCTGTCAAGTGAATTCAATAAAAGGAATTTTAGGATGAAGTGCATACAATACAATAAAAATATATTTTTTTTAAATGAAAGGTAAGTTGGGAAAGAATCTTTGGGGTGAAGAATTAGTTATATTAGCGGAAGCCTCAATGGAACCAGTTGTAATATATGTAAAACAAGTGCTTGATATCGTAAGCAAGGCGAGCAATAAGGGTATAAAAGGAATTGCACACGTACCAGGTGGCGGGTTCATAGATACCATCTGTCGTGTTTTCGGTATAGGGATTGGTGCTCTTGTTTATAACGACCCTTGTTCGGTTCCCCCTGATTTTAAATGGATCCAAAAGGTATTTAAGTTTTTTTGGTATTAAAAAAAGTTGGTTATCTGTTTTTTTCTAATGATGTTTATGGTTTTGCCCCTTTTCAGGCTGGAGGGATTGAAGATGGTGAAATGAAAAGGACTTTTAATATGGGAATTAGGATGGTTTTGGTTGTTAGTAAAGAGGTTTCTGAAAGGGTAGTTAAGGAAGAAGGTGAGATGGTGTATTGTGTTGGTGAAGTCTTTTCAGGTAATAAACAATTTGACATCATTACCCTTGAGTAGTTTAAAAATGGTTCTGAATTGTTTGATGTTTTGAATTTTATTACCGGGGGCAAAAGTGGAATCCACTCCGTGAGAGGTTAGATAGCTATGAGTTTTTTTATTATAGAAGAACTGTATGTTTTCCTGTTTTTTTTCCTACTTAGTTCACTAACAGACATTACAGTTAAACTATCTATAGCTAGCTTTAATTTTCTATAGTTTTTGTTCCTACAGTTTAGGTCCTTGTACAGTTTTTATCACTCTAATAGTTTTAGTCCATGTAACATGTTGCAACAATTTTGGTCCATGTGCTTTTGTCTCATTTATAGTTTTTAAACCTGTAACAACTACATTAATTTTTCCTTGCCAATATGTTCACCAAATGGTTAAAAGTTCTTTAAAGTGTTCCTTGTGGTATATCTTTATTCTAAGTCATGAATTTTTTTGATTGAATAACTATGCCAGATTCTCCACGTGATTCAGTTCAATTTATTGAATGGTCACCTTCATCTTGCCCTCGTGCCTTGCCAGGTACCATGTCACTTTATTTATAACTATTTCAATAAAAAAAAAAGAAACTAACAGTTTCTATATATACATTATAAGTAATGCTGCTTTGTTTTTTTAATTGCAGGATGGAAAGATTGAAGCTGAAGTTAAACTTACTAGAATCTTAAGCTGAGGAGCATTACAACCAGGAGAAGTTAGAAATATAGGACTACAATTGCACCAGGACAATATGCACCAGTTAACCAACATTTTTTTGTTGCTAGAATGGACATGGCAGTTGATTGTAAGCCTGGAGAAGCATACAATCAGGTTTGGAATTTTACCTATTTTTTTTTTAAAAGAAAACTGAGACCATTTAATAGTCTTATATATGACACAAGCATCTGTTGTGTTTTTGTATTTTTAGGTTGTTGAAGTTGATGTTAAAGTTGAAGAACCAGGAAAAGACAACGTTCACAACAACGCATTCTACACACAAGAAACACTGCTTAAATCCGAATCACAAGCAATGCGGGATTGTAATCTGTTATCTGCTCGCCATTGGATCGTAAGTCTATTTATTTTTAAATTACATGGGTTCCATATTTTCAAACTTTTTTTCTTTTTGTAATTTTTATTTGAATGAATTCCAAAAATATTCATGTGAGAAATACACGAACGCTGAATAGGACCGAAAAATTGCTAACTTTTATGGGAGAAGAACTATCTGGACTCAGCTTTCCCATGTAAGCTTTGCCTGCTTTACTTCTAGTTTCTTCTTTCACTATTTGTGTACATCTTACTCCTGCTTACCTCATTCTTTTGGGAGTTGTTGTTTTTGTATGCAAGTAAGACTATTGGTTTAAAGTTTGTTTTTCTTTACTGGAAAAAGTATTTGTAGAAAAGATTAGCCATTCTTTCTATTTGGGCTAAGTTTATCATGTGGAGTACTATAATAGGTTCTCAATGAATCAAGTCCTTGACCCCCATTGGGGTGTGCTTTATGAAGAAGATGTAAGATATGCGTCAATTTCTTATTTTTCATTAATGTCTTATCAATAATTATTTAGCAAATAGTTTATGGGCTATATATAACTGAGATTTAATATTAATAAAACAGTTAAATGGTCATAAGTCTCACACTGTGAACATTATTGTTAATAATGCTCCTGGAGTTCTCAACCTGGTCACTAAAGTTATATCCAGAAAGGGTTACAACATCCACGTTTGGTTTTTTATCCTTATAGTATAATTTTTTAGTTGAAATGTTTACTTTTTTTTTTAAATAACAATATTTAAAAATAAAAAAAATGTCAACTTAACATGGTTATTCTAATGGATTTCCAGGCATTAGACAAGTGTCAACTTAAAACTACCATCATGAATCTTCTACATTTGCCCAACCTAAACTTTAAATATCATATTTGTCCTTCTTAATGTTTTAAAATATCAAATTTGTCCAAATCTGTTTTTTAAATAGTTTTTATTGTTTAATAAACCATTTTTACAATTTAAAATCACTAAAATTGAAAATAATAACTTAATGGACCATAATACCCTTCCTTTTTAAATTGCAGGAATCTTTCCGGCGAGGTTTTATGCCTTGGTTGTCTTCCTCAATTCGTCTTCCACTCTTCTTCATGATCAGCTGTGGACGTTCGCCTCCAGACATCTTCCTTTTTGCCTCTCATCGCTTCCTTCTTGCAATTGTTAATAAGCACCAGGTAATTATTCCCTTTCTATATATCCCCTTCTTTTTTGGCAACTGAATCAACACTTATGCGTCTACAATATTGAATTCTTTAAACCCTGTAGTATCTTCACAATGCCTTTTACATATATGTCATTCGATTAGGTTAATAGTCCAAAGCAAAGACTTAATTTTGGTTCTGCACTTCTAATTTTCATTTAAACCGCAGGTTACCATACAGTGGTGTTAAGGTCAATTTAAGATAATATCTTTGTCATGTTGCTTATTGCACTTAGATAGCAATGATAACCATATTAAAACAAGAAAATTGATTTATTTGCTATCAAATGCCAAATGTGTTTCGGGGAATAAAATTCCTACTGTTGACAGGAAGAGATACATGGAGCAATTAGAATAGCAATTAGAATACCTTTTCAATACTTTGTAGGTAATACTTCAGTATAAGTCTCTATAGTAATCCCTTTAGAGGTAAACAAATTGGTATATAACTCAATTCTTTTCACTGGGGTTGTTTACTGTTTGATTCAGTTGAATTTTTTTTATACCCAGGTTGGTGGTGGTAGCAGCAGGGGACAAAATGCACCCACCCAGGTAAAAACTCACATAATGTCTTTTTGTCTTGATTTATCTAGTTCTAGTTGTAGATTTGAATCATTTATCAGATGTTTTTGACTGAGTTTTCTATGTGAGTTCAGATTTTATGGTTCTTTGCACATCACAGCTGGTAAACGGATTCATGTGATTTTGAAGTTAAGGGTATTGTTGTCCATTTAGTTATTGTTTTCAATTTTAATGATTTTAAAATGTAAAAAAGGATTACCAAATAATAAAAACTATTTAAAAAATAGATTTGGGCAAATTAGATATCTTAAAACATTAATAATGGCAAATATGATATTTAGAGTTTAGGTCGGGCAAATACGATATTTAAACGTTTAATAAGGGTATATACTGAATTCTCCCTAACTTTTTTGGCCGGGGTTTAGTGATTGTGTTTTTGGAAGCTGCCGATTATCAAATAAAGGACGTATACAAACCTTAGGATAATTAACATTTCAATTCCAGATGGTATTGCTCACAGTTTTTGTCATCAGTTGGTCCAAATGTGCCAAGAATCTGGCATGGTATGTATATAATCAACTCAGATATTATCTTTCATAAATTAAATATTTCAATTATATACAAAATGTTGGAAATTTCATGAATTTAAAAGTGAAAGTGTGGTTCCAGTCTACTCTGCAAGACCAGATCAGGTCAAGAAGGCTTTAAAGCACGTGTATATAGCCAATGTAAGGCTTTAAAGCACGTGTATACAACCACTGTGTAGCTCTTTCCATAAACATCTTTTGAAAATGGTTTCTCACTGTTTCTTTCATGGATGTAGTTTCTTGGAAATTGATCTAGGCCATTTGAAAGGGACCAATGAAGTTAGTTGGCATGGACCTGCGGAAGATCAAGCATATGTTCATCGTGACTACTTTCTCAGATTTCCTTTTCACTAGCTGTCTTGCCATGAATTTGGGTGAACAACCTATCCTTCCTCCTCATTTTCGTGACATAAACTAAAATGAAGTTAATTCATGTTGCAGCTCCTTACATTATGATGACATTCAATTTTGATATACATGGGTTTAGACCATTTAGTGGAACAAAGTTTTCTTCTTCAGAATCCATTAACTTCACTGCTGACATTTCTAAAGGTGATGCACACTTTTTTTCTTCTTAATTGATTTCTTTTACTATGTTTTGAAACAGTTGTACACTTGTTTTAAAGGTGTCATTGTTCTCATTTAGTTAGTTGTTCTCATTTGGTAGGTTTAAAATTAGAATGTCCCAATAAGAATTCATTTAAAAGTAGAATGAAAATGACAAGTGATTTTATGTTGTGCTTACAGGGTTGATGAAAGCGAATAGCTCAGGAGTTAGAAGAGGAAAAGAAAGCTCAAGCTGAAAGAGATAAGATGCTGCAGATGCAAGTGTTGCATTCTTCATTTCAATTGTTAGTATGCAACACAGAGTAGATTAGATGAATGCAAATTTATATATTGTAAGAAATAGAATTATATGATATTAAATTTTATGCAATGGATTGTATTTTTTTTATATGGTATTTTATGCAATGTGTGTCATCTTCATTTATGACATGGCCTTTCTTGACAGGGGTTTTAATGATATGCATTGCGTGTCATTAACATGCATGTCGTAAGGTTACAACACGCGAATGCGTGTCGTCGTCCTTTATGATAGGGCCTTCCTTGATACGCATTGCGTGTCGTAAACGTGCGTCGTAATTGCGCGTCGTAAATGAGCGTCGTAAAAGCGCATCGTCTATAGACGACGCACAAAAGCGCGTCGTCTCTCTTTATGACCGGGCCTTCCTTGACGCACATTTTTGCATCGTCTGAGCCTTTTACGATGCGCAATGAGCGTCGTAAAAGGCTATTTTTCTAGTAGTGAAAATAAAGCATGCACACATCTATTGCCTGTAAATGTCAAGTACATCTTGAGAAAAGTACTGCTGCAGCAGAGTTCTGACACCAAGCAACAAGTACAAACTGACACAACTCAGTTGCTTTAAATAGTACTCCTCCTACTAGCGTAAGAGTGTGCAGCCGTACACAGTGTGCGGCCGCACACACATGTGTGGCAACACATATGACAAGTTAGCACACAATCACTGCAAAAATGACACTGCCACTTATACAAAATGATGCCTAGCTCAAACGACAAAATTATGTTCTTTCAATCACTAAGGAATTGACACCCTTCTGATGTAGATTTCCTATCAAGCTCACAACCTCCACAATTACTATTAGCAAATGCATATAAATCAAAGTCGTAATTTTTCGGGTACCAAAGACCCATTTTTGGGTTGCCTTTAATATACCAAAAGATTCTTTTGACAACAATAAGATGTGAAAGTTTAGGATTAGCCTGATAACGTGCGCATTGACAAACTGCAAACATGATATATGGGAGCCTTGCAGTTAGATACATCAACGATTCGATCATCGATCTGTAGAATGTCTGATCTACGGATTCGCCATCAATATTCGGATTGAGTAGGGGTCTTTTGGCCATCAGTATCGATGCAGTTTTTGCATGTTGAAACCCGAACTTCTCAAGTATATCCTCAACATACTTTTCTTGATGGAGAAAGATTCCGGTTGACTTCTGTTGGACCTGAAGCCCCAAAAACATGGTCATCTCACCTAATGAACTCATCTCAAACCTCTTCTTCATCACACATTCGAACTCTTTGCATAGTTACGGATTGGTAGACCTGAAGATAATGTCGTCAACATAGATCTGGACTAGAATCTGATCATTAACCACATGCTTGATGAATAAAGTTTGATCAATAGTACCATGAGAGTATCCATGTTCGAGTAAGTGCCTTGTAAAAGTCGCGTACCACTCTTGAGGAGCTTGATGTCATCCATACAATGCCTTGTCCAATTTGTAGACGTGATTAGGAAACTTCAAGTTAACAAACCCAGGGAGTTGATCAACATAGATTTCTTCCTTTACCTTGCCATACGTGAAAGTTATCTTCACATATATATGATAAACTGTGAAGTTCATGTAAGAAGCATATGCAACGAAGATACGGATAGCCTCCAAGCGAGCTACCAGAGCATAAACCTAAGTGTAGTCAAGACCCTCGATCCGTCTAAACCCGCGAACCACCATTATTTCCTTATTGTGCACTATAACTCCAGAATCATCCTGCTTATTGCGGTTTACCGGATAAAGAACTGTGGAATTGCATTTCTGGCAATCTCAATCCACCAACTAATGTTCAATAAATTGGATCATCTTCTGGAAGTTTCATAGTTGAGAATCAGTCAGATCGTCTAAAAAAGCTAGAGAAAAGATGCATGAGAGAGCTAAGAGGAGCTTTGCCTCCAGTTGTTTACCACTATGTGAGGAGTTGTACAACTGCAAAGGAGATCTGGAACAATCTCAAGGAGAAATTTTAGTGGAGTGAGAAGACGAAAGTTAACTCAGTGAAGTAATGCTTAGTGGAACTGAAGGACTTCAAACAGAAAGATGGTGAATCGATTGAAGTTTACTACGATCGTCTTAATAAATAAATCTATCGATGCAATCGATATGGAATCACCAGATCAACCATTTAGTTCAATTTAATTTTTTTTATGTACCTTCGTAAGGAGTGGCGTAGTGTGAGCATGATGGCTAAGAATCAACAGAGCTTTGATACGTCAACTTTGAATGACTTGTACAATCAGCTGAAGTCTCATGAAAGCGAAGTGAAGGAAATTGTTGAAGAATCAAAGGCTAGTTTCGGAGGTCCACTAGCTTTGGTTTCAAAGATCTCTGAAAGGGAAGCTAAGAAAGATGTTTCGGACGAAGACGAAGGGTTCATCGTGAACTCAGATGATAAGGCGATTGCTTTCTATTCAAACAATCGGGTGAAAAAGTTCTTCAAAAATCCATTCAATCCGAAGGCAAAGTCATCTGAGATAAAAGGGAATTTTGTGAGTAAAAGTGTTGGGGATGAGAAGATGAAGGAAGAGAAGAAAGATACGAAGTTTGTTGAGGGAAAAATAGAGAAGAAGTTGAAGGGAGATGCTGGGATTGACTGTCATTATTGCAACAGGGCTAATCATTTAGCTAATGATTGCATGCTGAGGAAGAGAAAGGAGAAAAAGAATAAGATGAAGGATGAAGCGTACAATGTGGAAAAGTTGGAGGAAGTGCGTGCGAAGGAAAAAAATCTTTGATTACTTGCTCTTGGTGAACAAGAAGAAGATGGAACTTATCAAATTTGGTCATCTGGATCAGATGATTAGGAGAAGCGAAATCCGACCCACAAAGCAATGTATCTGAAGATGGAGGAAGAATCAGATGAGGAGGCATACGAAGTTCATGGGAGATGCTTCGTATCAAAAGCTGCTGACAAATCTCTGATGACCACAAAGGTACATAATATTCTTGAGTCTTTCAATATTCTAGTACATGCTTATAATTCTGAATCAGTATCTTTCGATGAAACTGTTACTTATTTTGATTCAATTGTGGTATCTGCTAGCAATGAGGCTAAGAAGTTGTCTATGCAGTTGCTAGAGACATAGAAGAAACTACATTCGAAAATTACTAAGATAGATTGTTTAGAACTTCAAATAACTAATGTCATGGTTCATAGGGATAACTTGTCTAGTGAATCTAAATTGTTAGCCCACAGGAACATTTACTGTAATTCGGCTAAAAGATTGTAAGGGAAATTAACTGAACTACATCATTCGTGCGAAATCAGTAAAGAACAACATAGAAAACTGCTTCCATTTTTAGCTTATGAAAGAGCTACGGTAGATAACATTTCGTATGACTGTGAAAAAGAAATAGTTGATTTTAACAAAGTTCTGAATGATAAGTATAAATATGGAATAGTTAAAGTAGATGAATGTCTTGATTCAACTGAATTGGTTAATATTGTAAATGAAACTTTTGACTAAGTCTGAACAAATTCAAATCTTGAAAAAGACTGAGAATTCAACATCTGATTCTCAATCTAATTTTACTGATATTGAGGATAATTCTGACAATATTAGTGAAATCAGTGATATTGAGGATGTTGATTGTTCTGAATTGTCTATTATAAATGTTGCATCATATTAAGGGAAAATAAAAAGGTAAGGATTTGTTGGTTGAGATTGACACTAATCAACCCTCAACTTTGAAAGTTTGTGCTGTGGACTTTGTGGAAGTCAGAGACAGCCAAACAGATTATAGTGATGATGAGAAAGAAGAGAAACAAACAAAGAAAAATGAAGTTACAAAGGAAAAATAAATTCCTCGTATAATTGTTGACCAAGTATATGGAGGTACACAAAAGTTTGAAAAACTGCTGACTGAACAACGTGCTCATTACCTAGAAGAGAATACGGTGGTTTACCCAATTTTCAAGTGTTCAGATGACGTTGTGTTTCCAAACCAAGTGTTCGTAACAACTGGAAATGTTGACAATGTTAAACCCAAATTCAAGAAATTCGTGGAACAAGACAATTTGAAAACATTTGATGCAGGGTTCTTCACAAACCAAAGCACAGTTGAAAATAACCTAACAAAGAATTCATATGTTTTTCAAAGACAAAAATCTCCAAGAAAATGAGTTGCAAAATCAAAACTTCAAAAAGAAGTCAGCAAACCAATTTTTGAAGAAACAAAAAGTGAGGTGAAATTAAATTCAAAAGAATTTAAAGAACAAACTGAAAAAATTTCAAAAGAAAATAATGTTTCAAAAAGACAAGAACGAAAGAAAATATTTTGGCAAACAATCGAGTCTCGGAAGACGTCAACTGAATTGTCAAAACCAGTTAAGTTTGTGAATTTAGATAATTATTCAGACAAAAGAAAAATTTTGATCATTCAAACAAAAATGTGTCTGAATCAATGTCATCAAAATATATTTTCAAAGTGAACAATTCATCTTTTTCAAAAGTAAAACAACTTTATCGTCCAAAAACTCATACGAAGTTTGAAGAGAAAACAACCCCAAAGTTTTCGAAATAATCAAAATGTAATATTTTAAGCAAGATTTCTGATAATTCATTGAATTCTAATTCAACAAGGTTTTTTACTCCATGTCAACATTTTAAATCAAAAGTTGATACTTCCTATGCTGAAACATATGTTTCAAAACCAAAAAGTGATTTTGTTCCTCAAAAGCCAAATTTTCCTAATCATATGAAGAAACAAACTTCAAGGAAAAATATAGATCATTGGCTCGAAGGATGAGGAAAAGTTTATCAATCCAGCAAATACTCAGAAGAACAAATCAACAAAGGTTATGAAAAGTATGTCAATACTTCTTCGAATGGAAATTCATCTTCAAAAGATTTGAACATCTCCATCAAATCTTGGAGACAAGTCACAAAAGCGAAGATAGTTCAGTCACAAACTCAAAATGCGAAGGGTAAAGTCAGT